CGTACTTACTTACTTACGTACTTACTTACTTACTTACTTACTTACTTACTTACGTACTTACTTACGTACTTACTTACTTACTTACGTACTTACTTACGTACTTACTTACTTACTTACTTACTTACTTACTTACTTACTTACTTACTTACTTACTCACGTACTTACGTACTTACTTACTCATGTACTTACGTACTTACTTACTTACTTACTTACTTACTTACTTACGTACTTACTTACGTACTTACTTACGTACTTACTTACTTACTTACTTACTTACTTACTTACTTACTTACTTACTTACTTACGTACTTACTTACGTACTTACTTACGTACTTACTTACTTACTTACGTACTTACGTACTTACTTACTTACTTACGTACTTACGTACTTACGTACTTACTTACGTACTTACTTACGTACTTACTTACTTACTTCTCCCTGGCGCTTCCTGACACAACCACTAACCCCTGAGCTACCGCAGCCCACCTGTGTGGAGCAGGGGTCTACCATCTTGGGTGCCTGGGGGAGGGGTTAAGAGCCTTGCTCAAAGGCCCAGTTTCCACCTGCATTTTAATGTATCGTTCAGGGGTGTTGAAATGGTGACAGAACAACTACAGTTAATATCACTAACAATTTACTTACAACTATCTGAATACTCCAAAATTTAATTTTATGTTGTCTATAATAGAAAATAATTTAAAAATATATTTGCTCCTTGAGATCTTAAATAACACTTAAACAAGTTGGATTGTGTAGACAGTGATTCAGGAATGGTCACATATTGGATTCAAGTTTTAACGCCATTTAATCCTAGATTTTTATGTATTTTTTAATTGCCATTTTTTGTCTTCTGTCACATTTGGGTATTTATATCAACCAAAAATCCATACTTACATTTTGAAACAAATGGTTCAATTTCATTACCATGTAAGAAAACATGCTACTTTATATAAAAGATAAAATACGTTTTTAAACATATCTGTTTTTGTCTTTCTGGTGATCTATTTTATTTTAAATACAGCTTATTAATAAACCCCATTAACAAAATATGAGTTATCTTTGAACAAATGGAAAGTTACATTTTCTCTCCTGGCCCTGAAGACAGTATAAGTTGATGGTTACTTCAGTACAGGAGCTTGGGAACAGTTATTTTATGGCTTCAAGGTACATGGAGTTTTCAACTTAGTTTGTTTCCAACAGAAACATTTTTCCTCACTGAACTAAAACTGTTACACATTACATTAATATTGTGTTTATATGATACAGTGAACTACAGTGTAGATGAAAATAAGATTTGCCCTGTTTTTTATTCTTGCAGGTGGCTGATGAACTGAAGAGGGACTGCTGCGAGGATATGTGGGTTAGGTTGAGACAGTCTCCAGATCAAACCTTTAGTCTTCAGCCTTTTCCACAGTAAGCACCTCCTGTAAGACTTTGGAATCAGAAGGTCAGCAGTTACTACCTGTAAGTATCATTCTGTTCATTTTTGAGAAAATGCTGCTGATTAATGTGCAGTTTACAACATACACATTTGAAAATGTTCTGATTTTGTTTTGTAAGCTTTGTATCACCATCATTGCTTCATCCACTTTAACTTTGGGACCACAGACAGGTGTGCTGAAAATGTCACCTGTCTGTAGGCGAGATGTATTAAGTAGCAGGTGGTCACTTTGTCCTTGAAGTTTGTGTGTTAGAAGAAAAAAAAAGGTCTAATGTTTGTATTTGAGTGGCTTTAAGAGCAAAACTGATGTGTGGACTGTTGGTACAAAGCCTCTCCTAACTGTAGCTGTCCTGGGATATTTCTGTTCACTGGTCCATCCTGCAAAAACTGCGTCAAGGAAGGAAATCCTGTAAACAGACAGCAGGTTTATCTGTAACAGGTAGCACTTAACAAAAAGGCTTCTGTAACTCATGTTACTACAAAAACACAACCCTCTTCCTCTGAGCAACAGATTGGGTTTCAGCATTCAGTTTATGTGTCTGAACAGTTTCCTATTTCTTCATTTACACACTTCATTACTTCATACCACACAAACTAAAATAATAGATGGACACAGAATCCAAGTTTGTGAATGATGCAATAAGATCAAGCACCGTGTGGGATTTTAACACTGACTGGAAAAAGGCAGATTTATTTAAGAATCATTTTTAACACTTTTCAATCATTAGTATTGTGATTATAACATTGCATGTCAAACCATCTTGATAATTTTGTTTAGTTTTAAGTTGGATACTGTGAAGAAATTCATTTATGTTGTACAGTAGATAAAAAATGAAACAAGTAGTTCCAGTTTGAGATCTCAAGATTGTTTCTTGACAGTTTTGGTTAAATGAAAATGTCTGTTCAATGTAAAAATCAGAGTTTTGAGTGCCATAAAAAGGACTTTAAGATTTTAACTTATAAATCTAATTAATCTTAGACTGATATAGAGAGTTTAGTTATTCAAAACTGCTCAAAGGGATACTGGTTCCAATAAGAGTGTAATGTAGTGTTATTGTGCCCATGCTGGTCTTGTTACTGCCATAAAAATTTAAATAATAGTTTTATTTTATAAAATGTGGATGCCCTGGGGCCTCATGTATCAACGTTGCATACACACAGTCTTCAGACACACGTCTTAGTCTGTGTCCTGGTCTGAAAGTGACACGTCCAACTTGAGGCGTTGAGAGCATTTTTGCTGCTCAAAACACATTCGGTGTGAAGATTAGGGTCCTGGGTAGAGCGTGAGGTGTTGTGGAGGCAGTGTATCTATAATGTACACCCACACACACAAATGTAGCTTTGTGGCCAACCTGAGACAGGACTGACCACACTGCAATGTAAAACATAGTAATCTAAAAATAAGATACTACATTGTGTTCTGAATCTTCTCATATTAAGTGAAATAATCTGCCAGTTGGCATGTGCACTTGGTAAGACTTCTTGCAATTAGAAGTAGTGTTGTAGTCAAGACCACCTAACCCAAGACCAAGTCAAGACCAAGACCACAGTGTCTCAAGACCGAGACAAGACCAAGACCAGAAAAAAAAGTTTCCTATTGTCTACACATGTACAGTGGGGTAAAAAAGTATTTTGTCTCATAGTTGAGGTATAACTATGATGTCAATCACAGGCCTCTCTCATCTTTTTAAGTGGGAGAACTTGAACAATTGGTGCTGACTAAACACTTTTTCCCCACTGTAGCTAACGTAATATATAGGGCTAATATTGACAAAGTCTTTGTGTGAGGGCAGAGGAAAGAATGGTTGCTACAGAAGCAGATTAACGTTAGTGACGATAAAAGTTTAAAGTTGTCCCCATCGTCTCTGAAAGTGAAGCACTGCTGAATGTACAAGTTGCTGTACGCTTTCTCCTGGTTCACTGTAAAAAAATTAAATGCTGGATTTAATTAACCATGTTATGTTACCTGGTTCCACTTAACTGTGTTGAGTAAATTCAAAGCAATACACCAGTTTTTTAACCAAAGAACATGAGTATATTGCTTTGAATTTACTCAACTCAGTTAAGTGGAACCAGGTAACATAACATGGTTAAATAAAACCCACATTTCATTTTTACAGTATTGTTGTTTTACAATGATATTATTTATGAATAATGTAGCCAAATATTTTACTTAAAATTTTGAAGACATCCTTTACCGCTCCCGGAGAACCACTGCTCACTTTCCTGGAGTGAATGCGAGTGAAGAGAGTGGGGATGGGTGACAGCCGCCAACAAAAATACATAAATAGCAATAAGTCAGGTTTGGATTTGAATCAGTAGCTACATTTTAATTCAAATGAAAGCAAGATTGTTTACTATTAAATTGGACAGTTGTGGTCTTGACTGGTCTTGAAATAAAATTCCGTGTCCTCAATGTCCGAGACAAGACCAAGACCATCAAAAACTGGTCTTGAGACCGGTCTTAAGACCAAGACTAGTTTCAACTACTACAACACTAATTAGAAAAATTTCCAAGCTACCAAAAAATAATTTGGGCCGATAAGGTTGGGTTAGATGGACACTTTTTGCAGTGTGGCTTCAGATGTGATTGTACAAAGCCATGGAAGCAGCCTGGACATGATACCTGGGAACGTAGCTTCATTCTGACACAGGCAAAGGGACATTTATAGCGTAACACATGTTTATAACCTTTGTTTGATCATCTTCATACTGAAAGTTTTCCATTTTTACTGTGATCCAACCATTATCAAAGCATGACCTGGCTCCAGTGTGAAGAGGGGTGAACAATTCTATTTTTTTATTTTTAATTTATGTACATGAAGATAATACAAATATGAATGATTTCTATCAGACTAGAATAATTGTGTCGCCTTCTACAGCAACCAGTTACAGAACGTGTATTACTGCAAAGCCCTCACATTTACGATTCACCTTTAATTTGAGACAGAATAAGACGTGCAGAGGAGCATTACATGTGCTAAAGAGTTAATGGATCGAACTATTGATGTTGTCCAAGAAAAAATTATATCTTTCTTAGATGCGCATTCCATTCCACATGACAATGATGCATTTACATCTCTGATGCAGGAACTGGAAAGTGGAAGGACTATGTTTGATGATGTTGACACTCCTTATAAGATGACCAAATATTTTTCTGATAAAATGTCTCTTGTGAAACCAAAAGAGGTATTCCTGGGACATAGGACAGACACTACCAGAAAGAATGGTCAAATGGCACAAGTGTTGATTTCAGACACTTTTCAGTATATATCTATTATTGACACCATCAGATTTCAGCTGTGAGAATTTCCAGCAGGTGTACGTCAAGTCTAATAGAAGTATAGATGGTAAAATGCGAGACTATTGTGATGGTGCACAGTTTGCTACTCATCCACTGTACAGTAAGCATCCAAATGCCCTGCAAATACAGCTTTATGTTGATGATGTAGAAACTGCAAATCCTTTAGGCTCTAAAACAAAAATACACAAAATGGGAGCTGTGTATTTTTCTTTAAGGAACTTGCCAGCACATTACAACTCAAGTTTGGCAAATATTCATTTGTGTGTCCTTTTTAATTCAATGGACAGAGAGACATTTGACCAAATACTGCAGCCATTGTTAGAAGACATAAAAATTCTTGAACATGAAGGCATTGCAGTACACATGGGAGGTAAAACCCATTTGGCTTATTGCACAATTTGCCTTTTGACAGCTGATAATCTCACTTGTCATTCACTTTGTGGATATTTGGAAAGTWTCTCAGCTAATGCATTCTGTCACTTCTGTTTAGTGGACAAACAAACTGCTCAAAGTGTCTTTGATGAAGATTACCTTGAAAAGCGTACTAAAGAAAATTATCACCAACAGGTCATGGATAACAATCCTACTTCCACAGGCATWAAACAGAATTCTTGTTTAAATGGACTTTTATACTTCCATGTTACAGAGGGTGTCTGTGTAGACATCATGCATGATGTGCTAGAAGGTGTTGCCCCATTGGAAGTAAAACTCTTGCTAAGACAGTTGATATATGAAGACAAAGTATTGACATTGGAAGAGCTCAACAACAGAATATTGAGCTTTGATTAAGGCTATGTGAATCAGAAAAACAAGCCATCTGTTATATTAAATCTAAGGACAAATGAAAATGCTGTCAAACAAACAGCCAGTCAGATGTGGTGTCTTCTCCTATTTTTACCACTCATTTTGGGGGATCTTGTTAATCCACTTAGTTTACTTTGGAAACTCTTTCTTCTTCTTATGGACATATGCAGCATTACATTTGCACCTGTAGTTACAAAAGGACTGGGAGTGTTTTTAAAGCAGTTGATAATAGACCACCATAACTTATTTAAAACACTTTACCCAGAAAGGCCCTTAATCCCAAAGCACCATTTCATGATTCACTATGGAAGAATGGTTGTAATGTTTGGACCTCTTGTTAAGTTGTGGTGCATGAGSTTTGARAGTAAACACTGTCCTTTGAAACGTCAAGCACATGTAGTCTGTAACTTTAAGAACATATCCAAAACACTGGCTTACAAGAATCAAATACAGAGCATGTACAGCTGGAAACTTGGCAGTCCACTTGCTAAAGAAATCACAGTTCCAACTGACTTTCCAGTCATGGTAGGTTCTCTACAACACAGCAATTTGCTCATTGAAAAGTTGCAGAGAATGAAGATTTTGGCATTTCAAGCACCATCCATGTTGCACACATAATTAGTGTGTTTGGTCAGACCTACAGACCAGGGGCTGTTGTCCCTCTTAAATATGATTTAAGAGGTGAACTTGTTTTTGGCGAAATAGTTCACATCATTCTAAAACGTGAAGGTTATTTGTTGTTTCTCAGATGTTTGTCAGTTAAGTATTTTGACGACCATTTCTGCAGTCTCTAGGACTGATGTCTATGAAGTGGTTAATATAAATGACATTTCTGATGTCAGACCAATAAGCCTGACATGTTTCCAGGGAGACAGATTATACTTGAATCCCAGGTACAAAATTGTTTAAGATGAT